ACATACACTACCCCCTCCACGTGGGGTCTTCAAAGCCAACAATGGAAGCCCGACTTGTTTCGTCTGATGCCACCGACCACTTTCAAGCGCCGCCGGGCCCACAGGAAGCTAGTCATCCAGGCAGGAGAGTGGGAGGGAGTGCGAAGTTGGGGCGGGCAGCGTTAAGGGGGGTGGGGGGGGGGGGGGGGGCATGGACGGTGAAAAAAAAAAAAAAAAAAAAAATTATTACAGCTGGCGTTGAATTCTACAAAAACAAGAATATTTATTTGGTACTGAATTTCATTTCATGTTTTGGAAAACTTCATGTAGTGGTCAGTACCCTGCGTTGTGTCCGCAACAATCCTGGTTCGAATCTTGGTCATGGCATGTGCAAAGACCATACTTGGCGGTCCAGTGGTCCAGTGGTTAGCGCGTGCAGAGGTACCGGGTTCAATAACAGCTCCGGCCTGCTTGTGTGAAGTTTGCATGTTCTCCCCGGCCCTGCGTGGGTTTTCTCCGGGTACTCCGGTTTCCTCCCACATTCCAAAAACATGCATGGCAGGCTGATTGAACACTCCAAATTGTCCCTTGGTGTGAGTGTGAGCACAGATGGCTGTTCGTCTCTGTGTGCCCTGCGATTGGCTGGCAACTGGTTCAGGGTGTCCCTCGCCTACTGCCCGAAGACAGCTGGGATAGGCTCCAGCACCCCTGGCAACCCTTGTGAGGATAAGCGGATCGGAGAATGGATGGATGGATGGAAAATGTGTTCATCAGAATATAATTCTGGTCTGCGGGGATTCCAGTCCAAGATCATCTGTCAGCCTATCAATCACCATTATAAAGAAGAAAAGACTTAGACCTGATGCCTGAAGCAGTCCCACCTCCATCTTAAACTGCTCTGTCACACCTTCATCACACCTCACCGCTGTTCTGCTAACATCTTCCATGTCCTCAACTACACTCCGGCGTTCTTCTCTGCCACACCGGATCTCCTCACACACAACCACAGTTCCTCTCTGTTATAGGCTTTTTCAAGCTCGCCAAAGACACACTTGTGTCCTGAATCTAGCCTCCGCTACTCTTTCCCATGACTTCACTTGTGTGACGAATCAACTTGATTTCTGCATAATTTCCCACAACTGTGCACATGGCCTTTGTTCTTCAAAAAGGGCACCAGCACACTTCTCCTCCTTTTCGCCGTCATCTTCTCACCCTCTGGACTTCTATCGAACAACCTTGTCCAAAAACTCCTCAGCTACCTCACCTGAATGTGTCACGCTGGGGTGAGGGGTTGTTTGTTTGTCTGGTCACTTCCTGTTTTATTTAGAAAGAATGTTTCAATGGTCCTTATCTCTCTTTGCGCCAGTGTGCTTCGTCCTTCGGCGTGCACTGCAGCCTCTCGCCACAGATCTGACCATCTGTCCTTTCCTTCTTTCCGCAGCCTTGCCTATTTTGAGTTTTCAGCCGCTGATCCTCAAATAAATATCTCCTTTACTCTGAACCCTGCAACCGTGTCCAAGCCTGGTATGGACAGGATGCTTTCATACCTTCAGTGGTATGTTTTGGAAACCAACAGCTTTTTCATTTTTCATCCTCTTTCGTACCGACATGCCCCTTACTAATCACTGCTACTTCCTGGTCCACCAAAATTGGTTCTTCCCCTCTTCTTTCTCTTATTTTCCTTATTCATCAACTCCTCGGAGTACTCTTTCCATTTATCCGCTCCACAAATGGCACCGTGAGAACACATTTCCATCTCCATCCTTCATCATCCTAACCTGCTGCACAGATTTTCCATCTCTCTCTGGCCAACCCGTGTAGATATTTTCTCCCCGTTTACCGTCCGACCTGACATACTCTCTTTCCTCCATTCGTGTATTTATGCACCGGTTCTCAAATGCGTTTTATGCAGCAATCTCATTAAATAAAACTTGAAACAAGACGCTCGTGTTCATTTCTGAGAATCCTGTAAAGATGGCTTTCGATAACAATGACTTTTGGATAAGATGATGGCAACACATTATTGTTGACGTTTTTTGTTTTTTTTTTCTCATGGTCACATCCTGCCGCACTGGCCCCGCCAAAACATCAAAAGCATGCAATTTTCATCATGGAGTCCACCCTGCGATACCGCATCGTCTGGTCTGCGGGACGCAACTTCGGAGGAAACGTTTAGCATGCGTGGACCTACGGAGAAAGAATCATTTTGTTTATGGGGGGAATGCGGTCGGTGATCAGAATTTCTCAGCGGGTAAAATCTGGAAGAACATCAGTGATGAAAATGAAGACAATAAATTATACTGTCTTTGATGTTTAGGAAACTTTGCAAGTTATGTTAATTGAAGCCAAAATTGTCCTCAAATGTTGATGAAAATACAAACTTTAACTTAGTTGAAAGCTAAGTTGTCTTTTGTGTTCCCCAAAACAAATATAACAGCGTAATTAAAAGCTATTATTTTCACGTTAACGCAAACACATACCACTGAAGCTTCAGCAATTATTTTTTTTCCCTTTTTTATGAAAACAATAGTGCTCGGCCCGCTTAAGACGTTATGAAAACAATTACAGCAAGTTGTATTTGTTTTCAAAAATATTGTGAAGGTTTTGAAGGTTTAATTTTTTGATGTGATTTATATGCATTGATATCAAATTGTCTTTGGTATCTCGAGAAGACATTTTCAGTTCATTGACGACAAAATGTTTATTTTAAATGTTCTCAAAAACATCTTTCGCTTCAACAAAGGTAACAAAATGGCATTTGATCCTGACATTGCGTTGAATGAAGACTCTAAAGTCTGAATTGTTTTGTTTACGGCGGTTTACCATCTGCACCACGTTTAGGAGAATCCCTGAAAAGATTGCGTGCACCTCATCAATTCTTGCTATCTACCGCCATCTAATGGTTGAATGTGGTACTCACAAGAATTACAATCCCCAAAACGTACAAAATGTTGTGCAAAGAAAGCACTCATCTTTGCATGATCTCACAAATATAAGATAAAATAGCATAGTGTAAACAAAGGTAAATAAAGCAACTAAATTGCTATTACTTTAAAAAATTGTATTTGAAACAGATAAACTCCGAACACAATCATTTATACAAATGATTGGGCATCACAGACACACACACAGACACACAAACACACGCGCACGCACACATTAACAGTACGTACTTACAGACTTGTTGCACTTCCCGACGTTGCCAGTAGGCGCCACTAGATAATAGTTTTTTTCTTTTTATCATGGGGCATGTGGACTTGCGGTAGGAACGCCAGTGTCCTGTGGAATTAATTCAATGTTAAATAGCAGATGGATGTGTCGTTGCCACGGCAACACATTGTTCCTCTATTGTCAGTCTAACGTTAGAAAAGAAAAAAGTTGACACAAGGTCGACAGCGGTAAGCAGCTGCGTCGCGAAGTGATCTGATTTTATTGTCCCTGGCGGACGTGCTATTCGGCCGTGATTCACGATGTTCCCAAATATGGCCCTGCGTAATATGGCAAGTTGATCCATTGGTGTCACCTTGGACCGGATGTGGAGTTTACAGCACCGACGTGTCAGGCGACGCAAAGCATCGATGTGGGAATTGGCCCGTGGGTGTATTATCCGCAGAGAAAAGGACGGCCATTCACGCCTTTGGAAAGAGGCCCTGATAATTTATGGGCAGCCACTTGTTTTTTTTTTTGTGGAATTATTTAGGTTTCCATCCATCTAACCTTTAATTTGTCATTTTATCCGTCTGCCGATCCATTCACCAATCAGGTTGCCATTCGGCACCGCAATGGTCGCTTCACTGATTTGAAGCACTTTCTAATCAACCGCACTGAACTGATCGAGCTGAACCATCTCGTAACAGATGTTCTTAAAAATCAAAAGGTATCTCGCCCAAGACAACAATCACCGAGTCCTGAACAATACGACTGGAAGGAATGGAAGTTGCGAGCTAAACTGCCACGTATTTGGAAAAACAAAAAACAAAAAAAAAAAAAAACCCGCACCCATTGTACTCCCCCCAGTGATGGTTATTTTATGTCTTAATAGCATTCAATATTATGGATCCCCGCTGTTTGCTGGGAGGCGTCTTCGCCCCTAAAAATAACATTATCTTTGTTTCAAGGTGCACAGACCATTAGCGACAAGAAGAAAAGTCAATTAAAGCGCTGATTAAAAATTCCCTCCAGGATGTCAAGCGCTGGCGACATCTTATTTCGTAGCTTGTTCTGACTAAATAATATTTTTGGGCAAAAAACAGCCTCAAAGCAAGTTTCACTTGGCAACATGACATAACATTGTGTTGCCATATCGATACCGACTAGATCCACCAAAAAAAAGTCTTAAGGACCTAGGTGGTATAACAAACAGGTCTGCCATTTTGATCAAAGCGTGAATTTTAGGATTATTTTGCCATTTTCCTTGGGTCTTTCAAACACAAATACTTGTCCTGCAGATGTTGTCCATTTGCCACCAAATTTGAACAATGTATACTCAAACAGATGGACACCTTATTAAAAAATATTTGCATTTTGATCAAGTTTGATGAGTCACTACTAAAAGACAAAACTCTAATCATGCTAGTCCACAAGGTCGGAACTCCTCTGCATTGCAGCATTGATTACACATATAACTGTTGATAAAATGCTAAACAATATGCAGTAACACTTTTAAATAAGTCTTTACTTCTCCTCCTTGTACTACACAACCAAAAAAAAGTGCATGTAAACATGACACATTAAATATTTAACATGTATGCAAGCACAATGACGCGATTCACATCCAAAGTAGGTGATTTCTAAACATCACTTTGCACTGGATTAGCAGCAAAACATGCTTCTGACAATCACAGGCAGCATTTCAAGCAGGACATTGTTATGATGATTTCAAGGCTTAATTTTTAGCTTGCCTCAGATTAGCTTGACACTGGCAAATAGCTAGCATTGCTCTGTAACGATCACAAAGGAGATGTGGTTGTTTGGATGTTGCTACTGCCAAAAATGGGAGAACACCACACTAAATGCTGAAATATTTTAGTTGCCTTGACTGCATGTGGGTGCGGCACAGCGATGAAGGTTTGGTGTGTCACCATAAAATATAGACCTCGAATAATTTTTCAATCCCCGGAATTCATACATTGCTATTTAACAATCCGTTAAATTTTTTTGCTTAGCAGGATGAAATTTGGTAGGAATTTTTATTATGATTAGACCCACACAAAAAAGTCTTGTTGTTGACTTTTGTTTTAGTGTGTTTTGGTTATGTCTTTAAAAATTCATTGTCATTTTCAACTTTTAATTTCCATTTTTTTTCAATTCAGATGTAGCCCCATGCATATTTGTAGATGAGTATCATAAGTAGTCCCACAAATTAAAAAAGGACCCATGCTGTGAAACTACTAGAAGGTCAGCTATTTTAGTTTAAAGAGGCCATTTTAGGATGATTTTGGCCATTATAATTCGCCCTTCAAAACTGCAAAAAAAAATTTCTGGCAGCAAAGTGGATTATTTTTGGAAACGTATGTTGTTTGAAAATGTAGCTAACACTAGAAGTGTCTAGGCATAGCTTCGCCTGCTTTATCTTCACAACGCCAATTAAATAGCAATTCGTTCAAAGCTTGTCTTGCTAACCGGCCTAACGCGGTTCTGCCCAGTGTTGACTATCAGGACTAAAAAAAATGCAATAGCTGCCCTTAATTGCAAGATTCTCAGTCTTTCTTTCTTTTATGCAAAGTTAGGCTTGAAAGACAACAAACAAACAAAATGACTAATTCATTTGTTACCAGGCCCTACCATTTAGTTTTCAATCCACCGTGTGGTGTTTCACTACGACGAAAAAAAAAAAAATAATAAAAAAAAACAGCGTCTGGGCTTCTAGCTAACAGAACACGGGTCGTCCTTGCAGGGCTTCACATCCCCCTGCAACAAGAGGCTCAGGACGGCTTTCGTCAGATAGCTGGAGGTGCCTCTCCGACCCACAGGCGGCGTGTTGTAGAAGGCCTGCATGTCGTGCTGGAGAGACATCAGTGGAGGAGAGCGGTGAATTGATAACAAATTGAAAGAGGGCGGAAGGCTTCATACCTGCTTCTCGGTGCCTTCTGAGCGACTGCGATCCCGCCAGAAGTCGGCAAATGCTTCTTTCACGAGACTGTCCAGGTCCACCTTGTCAGCAAAGTCCACTTCCGGGTTTCTCTCCAGCACAATGGACACCACCATCAGCAGCTGCGCTCACACAGGGACAGATATTAGGAAATTGGGAACTGACATCAAATTGTCCAAGTTGTTTACCTCCACGATGGTCTGTCTGTATTCAGGCAGGACGATGCTTTTCAGTGTGTCCTCCACCAGCAGAGAGAAATTCATCTCGTACATGGTCATGTCAGACAGTGTCGGTTGCTACAAAAATGAACGGAATTACACAGCAAGAAATGATCAACCTTTGGTACTCCACCTCAAAGACGCTTTATAGTATCGCAATCGAGTCCCCGCAGCATGTACCTGTGGGAGGTGTGTCCCGCCGACCAGAATCCCGTCGGGGGTCCTCTCCAGGATCTGCCAAACCCGGTCGTAAAAGCCCAGAGGGGTTCTGTTGAGCGAGCCGTCAATCTGGCGGCGGTGGAGCCATGACCTGCGGGAGATGAGACCGGGCCGAGCTGAGGAAATCGTCTTCTTGATTTGACATGCATTCGATGAGATAAGATTTAAAAAAAAAAACCTTATTGAAATCCCCAGAAGTGTTTGGGCTGATAGCAGAAGATGGATGTGGACAAGTTAAAAATAATTGAAAGTGGAGAGGATTACACAATAAGGCTTCAAGATAAGGAACAGAGCACGGATGACGCCCGCATTTGAATACCTGCCCGTGTGCTGAGGCTGCAGCACGTCCAGTAAGAGCTGCTTGATATCGCTGGGAGAGAGCTGGTAGATGTCCTGGGGGGGCATGTCTCCCGCCCGGATTTTCAACTCCTGTTTCATTGCCTGGACAATCCACCTGTGGACACCCCACATGGAGAAGGATATTGCGCAGTGCTGTACTAAACTGACATTGAGCTAACCATGACACAAACAACACATTTTGCTTTGCTTCAAACGAACTGTTAACGGTTCAATACCTACAGGACTATTGTTTTCCATTGACAGGATGTCTTTAAAGCTGTTCTAGATTGTTTCTGCTTTAGCACTGACACCAACTAGGAGAAGAGATCACAGAACCGACCCAACTCGGATCTTGAGCATGCCGCTGAAGAGCTCCGGGCTGTTGGAGATGATCCAGCCGATGTGGATGACCAGCTCTTGCTGCAGGACTGCCTCGCGCTCGCCCCCTAGTGGGCAGCACTTGCTGTAGATGATACCCTGGATGACGCTGGGAGACAGCGGGTTGGAAATCACCTCCTCCTCGTGGCCAAACACGCCCAGGGTCACCTGGGAAAAGACCCGCTTCGAATTAAGAAAGTTCTCCAGATATCCAGGGAGGGTGGGGGAGAAGGGGGGGGGTTGGTTCATGCCACGAACACGCAGCCACCTCCATTCTCCATATCCATTGTGCAAGTGTCACGAGTCACAATCACAATCCTCAGCGTTCAAATTCACCGACAGCAACTGAGAACTGTTCCTTTAGAGCAATCGCGGTTACTCTTGATGAAATTCATCATGAGGATTTCGGCAGCGCTCCAAACTGCTGAGGGCCCGCTTACTGACTAGAACGAGGTGAAGAAATCAAAGTCAGCACTGAGAGTGGCTGCATTGAATGATTTATTCTTCAATGTTTTCCATTAACAGCAAGTCCCAAATGACTCTCCAGCTGGTCTAAAAATAGCACTGACTCGCAAACTAGGAGATCATCATTTTTCAGCACTGGCTTCACTGCACTGCATTTGCTCTTTTTAATGTTCCCCATTAACCGCAAGTCCCTAAAGACTCCCCAGCCGATCCAAAATGCTCCTGCCTGAGTAGTGACCAGAATTAGATAAGAGATGACATCAATGCAGTCAGGTGGTGCGCAGATGGGATTTTTGAACTAGCGGACCAAGCTGTCAACAAATGATTGTGACTCGAGGTATCTTTTTGCTAATTTGGTCTTTAATTAGCGCTCAAGTACCTACTTTTTATAATAGCCTATGGGCCAATGGTTTGGATGGGAGATGTTTAATTTGAAATTATGATTTTTGCAAAACTTTAGGGACTGGTTAATTTTGCTACTTTGTGTCCGACATGTCATTATATCAGTTTTTGCTCCTTTGCTGCCTCCTGTTTTTTTTCGTAGCCTTTCCCTGCTTCTTATCTTTGTATGCCTTCTGTCTCTCAATCCTTGTGCATTCTTTTACTACTGCGGTCCGATGGGAAAATAATTTTAACATCTACAATGTTTGTTTGTTTTTTTTTTTTTGCATTTCAATGAACTTTTGCTCTTATAATAACATTGCAGGTTAAAAAAAAATTGACACTGTTCCCCTCAGCCTAAAAAGATCTTTATTTTATAATTAGCCAATGTCAGGTAAGAGGAGATGCCTTTTATTATCGTCAGACTCGCTACATCACAAAACAATTATTTGCCACAACTGGGAAAACCAGCAGGCAACAATTTCATTTTGTTCCTTTGTAGAATCGAAATGTCCTCCTCCAAAAATTCTGCTGCCTGAGAACTGACCAGACTACTGTACTAACTAGTAGTGACTAGGAGAAGAGAACACAGTTCCCCAGTGCGAGTCTCTATTACCAGCAAGTGACTGAAAGACGCTGAAACTGGTCCAAAATGCTGCTGCCGGAGTACCGAAAAGAACTAGACTAGGAGAACATAGTTAATGTAGTTAGCTAAGACACACTTCCGAATGCGACTAGGATCCGACCATTGCAAAAAAATGACAGTTGGCCACTCACCAATCACTTTTTTAAATCCAAGAGGATCAGTCAAAGAAGACGTAGGTCGCTACAGAAAGAGGATGTGGCGGAGAATAAAGCCCCCCCAATAAAAAAACATGTTTTGAAAGGCGGGGTTCGCTTCCATTATTAGAATGGAAGCGACATGGTACTTATGCCTCTCAGGTATACTTTTTTCCATGATCTTCGATATTTCACCCACGGGTAAATATGTATCTAAGAACATGGTTAAGTGCTGTTGTAAAAACGATACATGTACCGTTTATACTCATCCTTATTGCGTGAGGCCGTGTGGTGGGCAATCGCTTGTCACCCGGGAATTGATTTTTCGTCTGTCGAAAAGCTTTCATGCATTTTGATTAGCTATAATTTGCAACGCCACTACATCATGGAACTGCGGTTCATATTTGTCATTTTAAAGAGGCTTTTGAGACGTGTTGTCAATAGAGAACACCTAATAGTGAAATTGAATAGAAGAGAACAATAATCTGTTCATTTCGTTCGACCAGACAGCAGCATTCTAGACCAGCTTGATAGAGAACATCGAATAACAAATGCGCTCTACTAAAACTTCAATTGGAGTTCGAGCAGGTCCTCAGGCATCAGCATGGGCCTTATACATCATACAACTAACATTTTGGACGAGAAGGAGAGTCTCGAGGGAGTTTTGCTTATACAGAGAATATTGAAATTCTGTTGGCTGAGTACCGTTCAGAACTAAGAGGAGAGAACCCCAAATTTGCAAGTAGCTTGTGTCGAGGCAATCTATATGCAGATGCACACCGTGAGCTACTTGAGCATAATGAAAGGCTAAACGTGCTCACACAGGTATGAAAAAATAAATAAATAAATAAATAAGAATGAGGCTAGATAAGCAAGGCCCTCGAAAGGAGGAGGCTAATCTGCAAGAAACACTTGACGCCAGACGATGGCAGCGGCGAAAGCACTTTCCAAGGGGTCACGAGAGGATCAGCGGGCACGTACACGGCCATGAGATGAGTGATGAATAGCGAGTGCACATGCGGTGACCAGTCACTCCCGCAGGAGAGGGAGCCGCACGAGGACCTCCAATGTGATTTCACTACCCCCCGTGAACATTAAAATGAAAATTAGGATAATCAGAGAGGCAATCAGTCATTGATGTGGTGTTCGAGCAATTTCACGCATATAAAGTGCAATAATCACTTCCGGCGCATCATCAACCGATAACAGAAATGTATAACGCTATTGCTAACACGGCCGTAAATGTAACGCAGGTCTCTAGAGAAAGGTGCATTTTAAAAAAAAAATTGTTAGTTTTTGGGGTTTTTTTCTTATACCAGTAGGAAAAACAAATCCAACTATATTCTCATAATACTACTACTACAGTTTCGTGATTTTTGTTTTTCCCCCAGTATCTTCCTGGTGCCTGTGTGTCCACTTACCTGCTTGCCATGCACTAAAACACTAGTAATACTGGGAGCAAGGCTGTCCACCAGCTTAGTTAACAGACTGGCGGCAAGACGGACAACGGACCTAGTGGACGAAAAGACACTGGACGTCAGACAAAACAACACCACGTCAAATATGTCTTCAATTTACGGTAGTCACGTGTTCAGTTAGCGAACCAGGGAACATCACAAGCCAAACCAACTGGGGGCAGAAATGAAAGGTGACAACTGTGATGCACTTTTTTTTTTTTCTGAGCAATTTTTAAAATCGGATTGAGATTTTTGAAAATGATTATGAAAACCTTCCACGTCTTGAGTTACTGTTTGTGCTGCTGTCTTTCTTTCTGCACAGTGTAACTGTAACATCACTGGGCAGCTTTTTGAAACTGCCGTGCAGTTACTGGACCGTCTACATGCCAATCAATATAGGGAACGTCACCCTTGTTCCACACCAGTTTACACATTCAGAATAATGTGCCAGGCAAGCTAGTCATAAAGGAAAAAATAATAATTACAAAAAAAAATCAAATAAAATACATTTGAATAAAAGGAAAATACCAAAAAGAAAGTACTACTTATCAATAAAATCTATTTTGTAGACATGCCAAATGTAGCAAAATAGCATTTTAGTAAAATAACATTTAATACATTAAGGTATTCGATTAAACAAAAGTACAACTTTAATAACAAATACTGTTGTTTAATAATTTAAAAATCAAGCTGTCCTAAAATAAAAGACTCGTAAAATACAGTTCAGTATACTACAACTTAATGAATTACAATATAATTTTAATAACTTAACATAACATTTCATTATGCAAATCATTCATTAAAATTAATTGAAATACAATTTAAATTTAATTTAACTTATTTACATTTTTTTGAGTCAAATCTGAAAAGCATCTCGTGGGCAAGCAATTAAAGCACATTGGAAAAAATGTAATGGCTATTTTATTCATTCATTGAGTTTTATGTAAAATTAAATAAACTACATGACTACATGATGCAAAAATAAAACATAAATCGCAAGTTAATTACTAATTCATACTTATTGAACCTATGACTTTTGTCAAGTGGTGCTCCCTGGTGAGCCAACTTTCACACACGTAGGACATTTTCAACTTTGACTCATGAGGCAACCATTTTTAAAAATTCTGTCTTATTTAGAAAACATAATGAGTGAATGGATGACACAGTCAGCCAGCCTTCTCCAATTATTCATGTAAAGCAGTTCACTTATGCTCCATATTTTAATGTTCACTCATTGCATTCGTTAAACTGGCCGTCAGAGCGCCTCCTCTTGCCTGCCTCTGAGGGTAAAATGCAGCGCACGTTGCCAATGGCAACCATTGGAGCCGAAGCCATCCTCACAGAAGAAATCAAATCATTTCAATAATAAGCCAAAATGAATGATGACAGTGTGATTGTGCGTGTGTGTGTGTGTGTGTGCATGATTGTGCGTGTGTTGAGGTATTCAGCACGGGAACACAAAAAGCGCACAGATGAATGAAAAGCAACAGAGCCGCGGCGTTTATGAGGCATGATGTGGTGTCAATCCGCCGACACTTTGTTGGCCAACCTATTTCAAGCTCCACTTGCTAGCCGATGTTAGGGAAATGAGAAAGTAAATTGAACCCGAAGCACTGATACCATTTCCAAGCGGGGCTGTAGGGGGGGAAAAAACAGCTTGGGGGCTTTCTCCTGTCCTCCTCTCTTTGGCATAATCACATCTCGCTGCTGTGTGCGCAAATACGCCTTCAGCCAATTAATACAAACGGTATACAGGGGAAAGTTGTCGTCGCTGTCAGTCAGACTACAACACACAGATACACAAGCACGCACGCACACCCACACGTTGAAGCACACTTCTACTGGGTTTGGTCTACGATGAGTCAGGTCAGTAGGATTTAGAAATTAATTGAATATGATGTACAGCGGAACCTCTAAGGAAGAACGCAGGTCATGCACACATGATAGGATTTGGACATGTTGCACACAGGAAATTAGAAGGAGATATGAAATGAAGCAATGAAAGGATGTGAATAAAGAGATGGTGGCGCACTTTGACCTGACTGCTCGCCACACTTGGTGCAAATAAATAAATAAATAAATAAATAAATAAAATAACTGTTAGGGGCCTCCATGACCAATGTCAGAGTTTGGTCTACATTGCCTGCAGTAGGTCGATTTTTTTTTTTTTTTTTTTTTTCCAGTGGGGGTTAGTCTCTGCCAAGGCTGCCCCTTTGTCACTGATTCTATTCATAACCTTTATGGACAGAATTTCTCGGTGCTGCTGAGGCATTGAAGAGGTCGAGTTTGTTGGCCTCAGTATTGCATCTCTGCTTTGCAGATGATGTGATTTTGTTGGCTTCATCAAGCCGCGATCTTCAACTCTCACTGGAGAGGAATTTGGAATGAGAATCAGCACCTACTAGGACGGAGTGCCCACTCCAGTTCGGAGATGAGATGTTGCCCCGAATGGAGGAGGAGTTAATTTATCTTGGGATCTTGATCACAAGCAAGTGCAGGGAACGGAGCAGGAGATGGACCGGCGGATCAGTGGGGGGGTCTGCAGAGATGCGGACTTTGTGAGAGTCTATTGTGGCGAAGAAGAAACTGAAGTGAAGGCAAAGCTCTCATTTTATCGGTCGATAATGTTCCCACCCTGATGTATAGTCACCAGCTGTAGGGCACGACCCAAATTATGATTTCCTCCACAGGTAGGTTTCCGCTAAAGATAAGATGAGAAGCTTGGTGAGGTGTTCCAAGCATGTGCCATCGGAAGGAGGGCACAGGCATGACCCAGGAGACTCTGAAAGAACTGTGTCTCATGACTGCCTTGGGATCCCCCCCCAGGAGAGCTGAACAAAGTGGCGGAAGGCGACTACACTCTGAACTGGGCGCCAGTCAGTTGGAGGACACATAAAGAGACAAACCATTCACACCCACATTCACACCGTCACATACGCATGCTGGAGCCTATCCCAACAACCATTCACACTCACAGACATAGCTAGGGACAAAAATCCATGAAACCTGAAGATTTTGTAACGAAATAACGAAAAATCATTTTGACTGCAGAGGTTCCCCTGTACATGTTCCAAAAGGCTTCTGCTTAATTAAAAAAAAATCCCTGTCGTTGGGGTATACAGCCAACAGGGGCTACCGCTCTGTGATGGTTAATGAGGTGAAAGCAAGCGAACAAATGAGCGAGCTAGCATGCTAGCAAGCTCACCCGGCCAAACTCACATAAAGTAGGAATAACTTGTATTCTCGCAACATGGCGAATTCATCTCAACGGCTGTTTTGAACCTAGCCTTTTAGCCCGGCGGTAAGCAAGCAGCTAACGGCTAACATGCAGACTCCGCATTTCCTGGCGGGACCCGTTACCTGCTTGCCCTTCACGAGTATGGAGGTAATGTGCGGCGCGATAGAGCTGGCCAACTTCTTGGTGATGGCGGCGGCATCGCGCACCGCCAGCCTGCGCGTCGTTAAACACAACAACCCGTTAAATGTGCGTGCGTGTGTGCGTATGCAGGTGTGTGAAGGTGTGCTTGTCTATGCATGGGCGTGTAATCATCAGACCAAAGTTTCCGGCTGCCAGCTTGTCGGTAGATCCTCTCCAGCTCTTCCATCAGGTTCTCTGCAAGTTTGACAGCAAGCCGGGAGGGGAAAAAAAAGAATCATGTGAGTGCATTGACTTTTATGACTAGCAATGTTCAAACTTTTTTTTTTCCAAGCCCCTCCTGTTCTTGGCTCAAAGCATCCCGCATGTACATAAATCCGTATTTTATTTTAACTTTTTTTCATCAAAATACACAAATTTTTAACTTTAAAAATGCAATTTCATTCTCATAAGAATTACTTTTGTAGATAGATATTGAAAAAAAAAAACACAACTCTATTCACTTAAAATATTTTTTAAAAACTCAAAAATATATATATTTTTTTATCGTGGAAAAAAACATTTTGTCTGAAAAATATTTTTCTTTATGATAAAAAATAGATTTTTTGGCCTTATGCCTTCTTTACCCAAAATTCATCACAGCTCTTGTACTGGGTCACATTAGATTACTGTATATAGTCATACATGATGCACCCCCCCAAAAAACTCTTAATAATTAACAAAAATAACAATAATAGTATTTTTCACTCCTGGCATTCAACAAGCTGAAGGCATCTCACCATCCTTGGTGAGGAACTGCGATCCTTCCCTCCTCAACAGGATTCCGGCAAGTTGAGCCTGGCTGGCCAAGCAATCGCAATCCTGGATGATGGAAAAAAAAAAACACAAGATGCGGTTCATCCATATTGTGTGTACAAGAATACAGAAAGACCTTGCGCATTTTTTACCCACTCATGAAAAGCCGCCATGAAATTGTAATGAGGTGACTCGGCGTCTCGCATGGCGATAACGGATAATAGCGCGTATCGCCTTATTTCCATGGGAATTAAATGAGGAATATGTATGAAATGGGGAAGATAAACAAGGCATTCTCACGCACGACGGCAAAGGGGTCGCTCTCAACTATTCACCTCCTTCCAGATACTTAAAACTTGGACGTTGTTTGAGGTAAAAACTGATGTGAACACTCACACTTTATTTTTCCCATTTTTGTTGAGTCACTCTTAAAAACTGCCTAAGCTAGAATTAAATACAGTACCTGGCAAACCCTTTGTTGTTGAAAAACTGTCTTTTTACACCTACAGTACACCATTATCCAACATCCATCCATCCATTATGCGAACCACTATATTTTATTAATAGCAATGCATGATTATCATTTTAGGTGAGAGGAACCCTTGCTTATGATTCCCCCCCCTTAAAAAATATATTTAAAAAAAAGTGTTAGAAGTTATATTCATATTACACTTTAATATGAATTTGCATCCTGAAAAAATCTTGCCCTTATAATGTTTAGAATTTTTTTTGAAGCTATACAACTTCATGATGTTTGAATTATATTTCTTGAAATAAAAATTAAACTTCATTCTAGTCATATTTAAATATTTTTCTCTAAAAAATAAATAGCGTTGCACTTCTGAAAAAAATGTGTCTATGCTTAAAAAAAAGAATGCATTTTCCAAAAAAAATGAAAAAAATGCATCTATGCTTGTAAAATTAATACAGGAACAAAAATTGTTCACATATTACCACATTTATTGCTAAAGAAACATAACTCTGAAAAGAGTCTTAACTCTGGAAAAATAAAATATGACGTGCAATATTCCAAGTGGACTTTTCTAAAAGCAAATACTTTGCCCTTATTATTTCAGACGCAAGACCACCCCCTTGCAGGAAGAAGTAAAAAGTGTCAAATATTGCTGTGCAAGTTGAGTGGGGAAAAAGCTGCACTATCAGTGGACAAATATACTCAAGCAAAAGGCCACAGTCAGAATGCATAACTTAAGACTTAAATGTGAAGCGGAATGTGGGAAGAAATACAGTATTTTGAAAGTGCCATTTCTCTTCCCTAATCACACGCGTGACCCCACTTGCGTGGCTTAGGTTAGTTGAGCTTGTGCAGGTACCGCCAGCGGAGTCTCGACTCACGTGGAACTTCTGGAGGATCTCGTCGGTGGGCTTATGGAGCCATTCATCCACGCTGATCTCGGGCTGCTGCTCCAAGTCAGAGGCGTTAGGTGTGCTCGTCTGTCGCTTGACTTTGGAGTGTTTGGGAAGTTCCAGCTCCTCGAAGCTCTTGAACTCCGGGATCCTTTTTTGTTTTGTTTGCCACAAAAAAACTTTTAGATGTACCTCAGGTGTACCTAATAAAGCGGTCAGCGAACGAACGCACAGTGCGAGTCACGGTTCTTACTCGGCCTCGTTGACACGCAGGAAGTCCAATTGCTCCACCACGGCGCCGGAGATCAGCGTCTGGGTGTCACATGCTTGACATCGGCATCGTCATTGTCATCAATCTCAATTTCAAAATCATGGTTTCCTTCAGACGGTCGTTATGATTCTCAACCCAAATAAATTCATTGTCTCAATTTGCAAAAATCGATTCATTAAATATAGATGTTTTATCAATCTATCGAGAGAGAGAGAGAGATTTTTTTCAAATCTTGACAATGGACTGCTTTAAGCTTGTACCAAATTCAAAACACATTTAATTAAAAAAAAATCTCCTAACGACTTTTTATCTCAAACGTGATCTTCTTGTCACATTGTACCTTTTTCTCCTGGCAAATATGCATCTTTTTACCTGAAAAAAAAATAGCCTCCAAAAATTAGCTTTTGGCTGCTATTATCCTCATCTTCATCGCATGCCTGAGAAGACGCCCAAACCTGAAGTCTGTCCACGTGAACTTTCACCCCTCCGATGTGGCCCTTCTTGAAGGACGCCAGCATGTCCAACACCGGGTTGAAACGACTTCCCCTGTGCACACAAGTCCAATCAAAAAGATGTCTTTGTATTGCCACAGTCAACAATCAATCTATCAGTCATCTGGAATCATCAGTGCAGACATTCTCTCATTTCTAAAACTTGGAATTTGGCTTTAATATTCCATAGGGAAAATGTTCAAAAAGTCAAGTGTGTATTTTACTTGATGTTGTCCTCGTGGATGAGCACCAAGAAGAGAGGTCGTCCCTGCATCTTCCAACACTGCTTGATGAACTGGAGGGCGTTCTGCAAAAACGGAATAACATTTGGAAGAACATTTCAACATTTTCCTACAACGAGGGAGCAAGCAAGAGTTTTAAGAGCACAAAATCTTCATTCAGGTCACACCGTTTTTGTTTTGTTTTTTTTCTCTTGGAATACAAGACTCAAAATATGACACAAGTATCGTACTTGTGTCATATTTTGACTTTTTTTTCAGTTGATAATATTTGACCTGATTCTGAAAATATTTTTTTTTTGGTGAAAAAAAAAGTGGCTTTATTGCCATAACAGGCTTTGTTTTCTTGAGAATAACGTTTTATCTCTGAATTAATAATAATAATAATAATAATATTAATATGTATTGCTTTTTATTTTAAAAAATGACTCCCAAATATTACAACCCATTTCTCAGAATTTTTTTTAATTTTAAATCTTTTTTTCTGGAAAAAATTGTTTCCTTAAAAAATATAGCATTCTTGATTTAAAAAAGCATTTCTTCCGTAACTTTATGCCTCTAACACATTTAAAGCTTTATTTCTGTAATATTCAGACTGTTTTTTTTCTATATATTATATACCTATGTGCAAGATTGCTTTTTTTTTTCTTCATAATTCAACTTTTTTCCTCAAAAAGACATACCTAATGTTGTAATAATGTCATAACATCGTCCCAAAAATTTGGTCTTATTTCTCAAAAATATTGTACGGTTTTATTTTTGGAAAAAAAGACTATTCACATAAAAAAAAAAAAAAAACTTTCTTAAAACTAAACAATTTAAAAAATAGTTATTCCTCTTATCTGAAGAAGACAACAGGATTGTTTTCTTTAACTGTTAAGTAAGGTTCACAGAACGAAGATTTGGAGTAATGTCAGAAAATATCAGAGAACGAAAAATGAAGAACATCTCATCCAGCGCATTTTTTTCTCGTCAGCATTCCTACCATGAGCTGCTAATGATTGATATGTTTCGCTCTCATCGGGTCATTTGACAATTTGATGTGCGCCTTTATAACGGCTCATTTGCACACTGCGTTATTTTTATTCCTGGGGCGATCGTAACAGTTTCATGGCCAGCCTGTCGATTAAATAAAGGTTTAAGACCAGTTAGCCCACTGTGAACCTTTCACATTTTTTTACCATTTTGACCTTCTATCGGAGCGGGGAGAAGGCCACAGATGTCGGCTTTGTCGGAATACACTGGCGACGGGTGGCCATTATATTCTCAACCACGTGCGTGAGTACCTTAATGTCGTCAATCAGCAGCATGACGTCTTGAGAAAGGTAAAAGTCGCTCAGATCAAAGACAATCGGGTAGCACACCACCGTCTTCCCGAGGATGCGGTAAATCTGCAGGGCACAAACGCGCACAATGAGATGGACACTCACAAGGAATCACGTATACACAACTGTGGCCGGCGTATAAAACCAACCATTAATGTCACAAAAGCACGGGATAACAAATTCACAGCCACGCACACATTGAACCCAACGCCGTCTTTACCATCCGTGCGTATGCACGTACACACGCGTAAATTCACACAGACGCAAAGTAATGATGATCATGCCCTCTGGCAGCCAGCCGTCCTCCCTCCATAAACGTATCATTTGAACATTGTCTTTGGAATGAGTTGGTGGGAGGGAAGGGGGGGGGGTCGGGACTGTCCACTCAACAGCTTCTCAATGGGGTTGAGGTCTGGGGAATGAACTGGCCATGGGAGCACCTTGATTCTGTGTCTGGTGAACCATTTCTGCAATTTTCAGTAGGAGAGTTATGCTTCTGCAACAAATAACTGCAATTTATTTGAAGGCTTTTAACACATCTTACCTTTAGGACTAATTTAAAAAAGAAAAAAATACAACTATTTTTTTTTTAATATTCCAAATTCTTTATCAAAAGTTCGCATCCTTAATGCGAAAACATAAAAAATGTTCACCTTTTTTTTAACAAAAAAAGGCGATTAATCAAAAAAAAATGCTCACCTTTAAGTACCCAAAACAAAACAAAAAAAAATGTATTTTTTAAGCTGGTATTATATGTTAATTCCAATTTACTTTGATAGATTATAAATCCCTTAAAATAGAATATACATTTTATTTTATTTTCATCCACGCATACACCCGTCCATCTAAGAGGGCACTCCAAAGTCAATACTTTAAGCTAAAAGATTTGATGCTACCTTCATGGGAGTGTTTGTAATTTGAAAGGAGGGTTAAAAAAAAAAATGTTTGTCGACACTAAATGAATTCAACATGCACCAAAGTTGACCCTGGGAAACGAATTATTGGATTCCCTCAGCTGCAGCCTCCGAGCGCTCGTCGACGCTGTGGCGTGTGGGAGGGAGCCGCGAACGTACAAGTGAGCATGTGTTAGCACGTGTTCACCTTTGAGGTCCCGATGCAGCCCACAGGTCGATCCGGACGCCCACTCAGGCCCAGCTTGTTATTGACGGCCAGGAAGCGGTACGCCTGTCGGAAGATAGTCAGCCCGCATTAATAAACACAAGTGGTGGTAGGGGCAAGTCATTCGGCCTCCAGCTGTGATCGTCCCCATTGTTGCAGAAATTACCTTCGCGTAGCAGCGCGCCCACCCACCGGTATTGTTATTATCTTTAGTGTTTATGAGATGTGGCGCTAATGAGAAGGTGCCCGATACGCCATTAGCGGTGTCCTTAGCGGACCCCCCCCACGGGGCTGAAGGAGAAGCAACAGCAATGGCAAGAAGGCACTGTTGATACGTAACAACTGGGATGGGGAAATGCATTGAAAAGAGACAGAAACTCGGCCACCACCATTGTGTGTTTTTATCGCCATCGTTCTTGGCCGGAAGCATTCTACCTACACACACACAGACACACACAGACACACACACAGACACACACACA